ATAGGCCGTATAACGAACATTCTAGCATTAAACAGTCCCAGTTTCTGAATTACCCTACCCGGAACTGTGAGAGGCTTAGGGCGCAAGTAAGGTGGTCAGACACACCCAAAGTGCAAACCCTCGGCGAAGACACTAGAGATTTAAGCAAAGTTGAGGAAGACCGCCTTCTGTGAAAGGCTGTAAGCATACTACCAAGTCAGGCACATATTTCACTGTGCATTTGCCATGTTTTTAGCTCAACAATAGGCTTGTTAAATGTTCTCTGCAGAATTTTAGCATATGTGAAAACGGGATATATTACGGGGAATATCTCGCACAAGCGCGAACAGATTGCATATAAAGGGCGGATTGGAAACGCGCGCGCGGAAATACACGCATGGGTGGTAGTAATTGATGGGCTGGGCCTATCCTATACTGACTCGTGGTCTCGAGCTCCTACCAGGTCGCAAAGAGTTGCTAGCTATTACTAGATAACATGCGAGAGTATATACACGCCCCGCATTTGCAACTTCTGGTGCCTCCAAGGAACGAAGAGCAAGCGTTCTGGTCGTGGTAAGCCCGTGCTAATTAGCGGATTGGCTGGTTCACTTGCTTTTCAGTCCCAAAAACAGAACTTAACAATGTTACATCCACATTCTTACCTGCACGTCCAGTACGTCCAATTCGATGGACATAGTCAACGGGTGAAGCAGGAACATTTACGTTGATTACATAGCTGACTTCAGGTATATCTAATCCACTGCAAATATGTGAAATGATAGATGAAGTAAACAAGTATAGAACGGCAAACAGCTATAAAACAAATGAATAATTACAGTGCAAACCTTCGGAAAACTAGAAAAGCGATATGCATACACAGTATGGGTTACATGTAACTGTTGATAAGTGCTGACAGTCCTGATCAATTTTCTTGGCCGTCCAACATAGTAACCAAAATGTTCCCAATCTTTGATGATTAATTGCGATCACAGTCATAAGATGTAACATGGCGTGACAAGAATAGTGGATGAACTGACAAGGTTTGGAGACTTACTTTCAGTGCTTGTGTTAACGGTCGGTCATCGGATGTTTTCCGATCAATATTGCTAGGCGTCCGTGTAGTTGCGTAGTCGCGCGGTCAATTTGTCCACGCATGACCCGCAGGCCCACTACGCGTTGCGTATAGTAAACACACGCACTATGCGTTGCGTATAGTAAGCACGTGTTCTATGTATAGGTTATATCACTGGAACAAGTCACTACGAGGTTTGAATAACCCGAGGGGGAGGGGTGAGAACATTCTCATCCCGACCCACGAGGGTTTTCAAACCGAGGACACGAGTTCAGTGGTCTAACCGGCTTAGAACCGCGGCACGGAGAGCGCAGTTTCGCTTAGTCATTTCGATAGTGTGCAAGACCCGTTACCCAGTTAGCTCTGCCCGCCAGAATTTAGGCTGGGAAACGGCGTAGGCCCATTTGCTCATAGCTTCGAGACTGCTGCCGAGCGGGACGAGTTCATCATACAAGCATCGCGATAACTGGATGGATATATCCTGCAAGCCCCCGCCGGAGCAAGACACTGCCACTGGAGCGCTCAGCCCGCGTCGCTTGATCTGGACTATTTGTTGTGTGTCGCTAGTCAGGCGTTGAAATCAGCTACATGGAACAAACGCTTTACCGGGAAACGCCTGACTAGCGACCAACAACAAATCGTCCAAGCGACGCGGGCTGAGCGCTGCGATGCTTGTATGATGAGATCGGCGGCAGTCTCGAAGCTAGGAGCAAATGGGCCTTCCCACACCTCGATTATTATGAATTTGACCTTTGTGAAACCTCAGTGATCTAAATTCTTCACTTAGAGACTTAGTACTTAGATACCTGGCAGACCCAGTACTACGGGTTTTAGACACTTGATTACTACACTCAACATCAAAGGGAATTATTCATGAGAGGTTCTAAGTAGGGCGTATAGCAATATAGCACAGGAAGTTTACACAGTCACTTTCAGTAACTTAGCAGTTTTAGAAGAGAGGGACTACAGCTTCAACCATTATCTGCCATGAAAACTTGTTATGATGTCCGGCAAAAGGTCCTAACGCTTATCTGGCTACACTTTATAGCAAATTGTGACAAAATGTGTACTAATGGGGACCAACAGGCTGGTTTGTCGGTCAATTTCTATGGTAAGCTTGCATACTAATATGCACAGAAAAAGTAAACATGAAGTATAATACCAATACCTTGGTCACTAATTGTGAGAGTTCAACCTAACAGTATGTGTGGTTATTCAGAATTTTGTACTGCTACTTTGAAAGCCTTACTACTACCAGTTCTTTTCTGTTATCACTTTTGGTCTCTTGCACCACGGTAGTCGCATGGAAGTCAGTGGTGTTCGGCTCTTACTTGCTACACCATATACTATCTAGTCACCCATCCGACCACTGCATAATGTAGAACCTAGAAACTGTTCACTTCGCTCCAGGGTGCATGAGTCACCCGACTACTGATGTCGCTTAAGAGAGGTTGGAACCAATCACGTGAATTTTGCAGATAGCAGGTGAAAAAAAGTACAGAAGTGCCACCGGGGTGCCGACCCCTGAAGTTTTATGCCCAAGTTTAGTAGCTCGAAATTAAGAGGATGCACTTGCAGAAAGTTGTATAAAATATCGAAACGAAGAGTCTTGCTACACCATATACTATCTAGTCACCCATCCGACCACTGCATAATGTAGACCTAGAAACTGTTCACTTCGCTCCAGGGTGCATGGAGTCACCCGACTACTGATGTCGCTTAAGAGAGGTTGGAACCAATCTACTGTGAATTTTTGCAGATAGCAGGTGACAAAAAGTACAGAAGTGCCACCGGGGTGCCGACCCCTGAAGTTTTATGCCCAAGTTTAGTAGCTCGAAATTAAGAGGATGCACTTGCAGAAAGTTGTATAAAATATCGAAACGAAGTATTGTATGCTTAGCTGACCAATCAGAGATGGGGGTTTCCTTGGAAACATACCTCGAGTGGTAGCTAGTTTCTAGCTCTGCTTTCGAAAGCTTTTTTTCCTTGAAGCTGTTATCTTCTGCTACTTCTGTTGGTGTTTGGAGGGAGAGGAATCTACCAGCTACCATTATCTATTACTCTTGGAGGTCTTCGGCAGCCTATTTTCAAACTGCAGCGCGAATTACAATTAATGCCCACCAATGACGCTTCGGTGAATACAGCTGTCCGGACTAAGTCTGCTCAAGACTGGGTCGTGAGTTGCAATAAACGGGCTAGGGCGAATATAATTTTATGGGGAATGCCTAAAAGCCTGTCAACGCTGGAAATACGGGCGAACCTCGCGGATATAGGATTAGTCGTTTTTTTCTAGTGGAAGCATTGCTTGGGAGGGCGATCACGTGAGGTTAGTGTTACTGCATAAGGGCCTTAGTAAGGCCGTTGTGGCGCAAATTTCAGCCTGTCTTCGGAAGATTGGGCGTAGATGCATGTTAGATGAAACCTGCTCCGCTAAAGAGGCTGTACATGTTGGCGTTCGGTGTGTAATAGGTTTTAGGTTTTAGCTGATAGTGTGGATGAGTGTGCAGCTGATGTGCCTGAAGGCAGTGAAGTGAATCTTTCAGTTGTTAGTGAGAGGGTGAGTGGCCAAGGCAAAAAGGACAGAAGGCTAAGAGTCGCTACATGGAATTTTTCAGGCCTTTGTAGTGAGCGTAAACAGAGAGAGGTATGGGAGCTTTTGCAAAGGTTCAAGATTGATGTAGTAGCTGGTCAGGAATCTTGGGAGAGGGAGGGAAAGGCAGTTGCTGTTGATGGCTATAGATGGTTTGGAAAGCCTCGTGAGAATCAGAGTAGTCGTAGAGGGGAAGGAGGGGTTGGGTTCTTGGTTCGGGAGTGCTTGATAGACGAGGTAGAGCTTGTAAGTAAAGTCAGGTATGAGGAGAGCGTGTGGATGAAGGTTCGAGGTGGGAGAGGGACGAAAGCATTGTATGTGTGCTGCATTTACATGCCTACAGATAGTGCTTGTGCTTCTGTTAAGGAGGATAGTTACGTCAAGTTGAAGGAGGATGTGCTTGGATTCATGCAGAAGGGGAGGGTTGTTCTTCTTAATGATTTTAATGTGAGGGTGGGTAGATCTACTGATGTCGATGATGTCATTGGGATGTTTGGGGAGGAGACTTGTAATGCCAGTGGAAATAGGCTGATTTCATTCTTGAATGAGGTGGAGCTGGTGATATGTAATGGTAGGAAGTTAATGTCGGAGCCTGAGTGGACTAGAGTAAGGCCGAGCCTGCAGCAGAAATCAGTGATAGATTATATAGTTACGGATATGCAGTTGATGAGGGAATCTGGTGATGTACAGGTTAATATAACTGATATTGGTGCCTCGGATCATTTTCTAGTGTGGCTGGAGTTGGGCCGGGTTACAAAGTGTTGTAAAAGGCAGAAGCAGACAATAAGGAAGTGGCGTGTAAATGAGGGGGTTAGAGCAAAGTATAGTGAGGCCTTGAAAGCGGAGGTTGAATCATTTTCAGAGAGCATCAGGGAGAAAGTGAGTGAGGGTGTTAGCGGAAGTGGGTTAGTCAGTGCAGTTGTAGAGGAGTGGGAGCAGGTTGTAAAAAAGGTGGCAAGGGCCGAGGTAGGAGAGAAGGTATAGTAGTGTGTTGGCAGGGCAGTCAGGTGGTGGGATGACGAGATTAAGCAGAAGATAGAGCAGAGAAGGAAGGCTTACAAGAAAATTCTTGAGGGTCAGGATTATCTATGGGAGGAATATAGTAAACTGCGTAGGGAGGTGAAGAATTTAGTTGTTCAGAAGAAGCTTGAGGTTTGGAATGAGGTAGTGGAAAGAGCAAATTCAGATTTTTAAGGTAATAGGAAAGAATTTTGGGCATTTGTTGGTAGAAGGACAAAGGGTAAGAGGAGGGGATTACAGCTTTGAGGAATAGTGCTGGGGTGTCAGTGACTAGTACAAAGGGCAAGTTAGAGGGTGTTAAAGAGGCATTATCAGCAGTTGGGCACTTGTAGTGTTGATACAGCCTTTGATGAGTTGGAAAGAGGAAGTGGATAAGAAAGTGTGTGAGTTTCCAACAGATTGTGTGGGAAAATGTATTGGATAGGGAAATAGATTTGGAGGAGATTGCATTGTGTGTTAGAAAGTTGAAGAATAACAAGACTGGTGGTAGTGATGGGCTTGGGGGGAGCTTCTAAAGCATGGTGGGTCAGGGATGGTATTTGAGTTACTTAAACAGTTGTTTACAGTATTTGGCGTGAGGAGTTTTGTGCCACCACAGTGGAGGGAGGGCCTCATAGTTAACTGTTTAAGAAGGGAGATAAGGAGGATCCTGGGAATTATAGGGCATCACTCTGCTGAGTGTGGTTGGGAAGGTCTTTTGTAAGGTATTGAACAATAGGTTGGTGAAGCATCTGGACGAGGGCAAGCATTGCATGAGGGCCAGGCTGGTTTTAGGGTTGGAAGGGGTTGTGTTGATAATATTTTATACGCTGAATGAACTCGTGCAGGGTAGACTAAAGGAGGGGAAGGAGACATATGCATTCTTTCTAGATGTGCAGAAGGCATACGATAGTGTGTGGCGTAACGGCCTGTGGTTTAAGTTGTGGGAATTTGGGGTAAGAGGGAAGATGTGGAGGGTCATAAAGAAGATGTACGAGTATTCAAAGAGTGCTGTATTGTTGGATGGGGAACGGTCAGAGGCATTTAATGTTGAACAGGGTTTAGCTCAGGATGTAGCTTATCTCCAATTTTGTTTCCGTATTATCAATGGGTTGTTGAGGGAGGTGGACAGGAAGCTGAGATGGGAATGATTGATAAGTAGTGGTGGAGACTTGGGGACTTTTGTTTGCAGGATTGACTGGGGTCTGTGGTGTGAGTAGATCTAGGAGGATAGTATAGGGAGATTATGGATGTGGGGGTTGGATTGATTCTGTCGATAAAGTTTGGTGATGATAAAGGTTTTTGGATTGATTGGAGAGGATAAGTGTAGATGAGAGTTTAGTTTGAGGACGGTTTTGAAAGATTGGTAAGAAGATTAATTTAGATTGACTTAGTTCGTTTTAGTGTAGCTAGGATAGTTCCAACGCTTATATTATGTTGTGCATGTTACTGTCGGATATGGAGCTCC